TAAGCTTCATGGAACGCTTAGAGGAGGTTTCAAGTTGTGGAAGTCTCAACCCGGCTCAAATTCCAGGTTCGAAGACCAAGACATTGGATTTCGGGCTGATGACACGTCATTTATTTGCTCGCGCGGCTGCTTCTAGAACCTACATACCTATCCAGCCAAGTTGACCTAGTCTTCCTGGACTCGGTCCATCTACGTATCAGCCTATCTATCTCCTTATCTATCTGTCGGAGCCTGCCCTCAAACAACTACCAGGTTCAGGCCGTTGTTGGGGTTCTCTCCGGACCAGCCCCGAATCGTCCGAAGCACGTTCGAATCATGTTGATTCGGGCTGGGATGCTAAGATCGAAGACTGCCCAAGCGTCTTGCCCCGGAAACCTTGGATCCAACCCTCGCCCGAATCATCCGAATCATTGATTCGCGGCGGGATCCATGATCCAAGATTGCCCCGGGGTCTTGCACGGGGAATCTTCTATCCAGCACCTACCCGAATCATCCGAATCATTTTTGATTCGGGTTTGCATCAATACGGATGCATATGTGTATCTGCATGTGTATATATACATATGTGTACATATGACTGTAGGTACCTATCTATGTATGTGTATATATATATATATATGTATATATATATATATATATATATATATTATGTTTATACATACACACACATAGGGCCACATAGGGTGTAGAGTTTCTAGTGTATACAAGGAAAAGGAGGGGGAAAGAGCAAGAGAGAGAGAGAGAGAGAGAGAGAGAGAGAGAGAGAGCGAGAGAGCGAGAGAGCGAGAGAGCGCGAGAGCGCGGGAGCGCGAGAGCGCGAGAGCGCGAGAGGGAGAGGGAGAGGGAGAGGGAGAGGGAGAGGGAGAGGGAGAGGGAGAGGGAGAGAGAGAGAGAGAGAGCGAGAGAGAGAGAGAGAGACAGAGACAGAGACAGAGACAGAGACAGACACAGAGACAGAGAGAGAGAGAGAGAGCGAGAGCGAGAGCGAGAGAGAGAGAGAGAGAGAGAGAGAGAGCGAGAGAGAGAGAGAGAGAGAGAACAAAAACAGAGATCGAGAGAAGCGACAGAGATACTGTGTGGAAGCTATGAAGAAGCATCCAAAGGAAATGTGAGTCTGCTGGGTGGTACACTAACGGCCCATGATCCACTGAGCAGGTGCTGCGGCATTAAACGCGAGGCACCAATTCCGGCTTGTTGAAGAAGCATCCGAGCATTTAGGCTGCTGGGACTGCTGCAGATTCCTAGTCTCATCCCATCAATCCGTGCGTGCAACATAATCAGACCCGCAAACCTGAAGCTTGCAGGATGTCAAGAGCATGTCAGTTCTCTGCGTATTGCTATCACAAAATCCTCGTACTCCTCCTCGCACCTAGACACCCCATCGGCCAATGCTCCATATTCCCGTTCCGTGAGTTCCGTGCTCTCATGTGCGATCCATTCACAATCGAAGACATGCTCAAACAGTACAAGATCTGCTCCCGCACGCTCTGCGACTGTCAACACTTCATCCCACGGTTCTCAAAGAGTTCCCGTTAGAGTTTGCGACATGTCAATGATAGCAAACCAAAACAAACTGTAGCGGCCTATGCTGCAAGTGCGTGTGGGATCTGAGGTTGCCCTGAGTCTCCCTTCACATGTAGACTGCGTCGGAATGAATTTAGGGTGAAGTGCCTTGAGCTCCAAGTCCTCATGGCCTTAAAGACCGGATGCGTGCTGACAGAGCCTTTGGCTTCCGACTGCGGCCTTCGCCCCCGCAGGGTTGGCAAAGACTTGGGTGGTTCGGGATTCAGGGCTGCAGAAGTTTAGGATTTCCAGTTCGAAGTTTAGGGTTCAGGGGCTGAGGAAGGCTGATAGCGCTTGTAGCTTTCCGCACCATTACAGGAGCTGAAGTTTGGAATCCTGGGATGAAGCTCGAGGTCGAGGGCTGAAGTTGTATCGGATCTGTAGTAAAGGGGCCTTAATGATTAGAATGGGGTTTCGGAGTCCATTATAGTATAAATAGACTTGGTAATTATGTAGGCCCCTATAGTGCATGTTCTAGGTTGCGAGTTGTTCGACTGATTTCTGCCTTCCTTGCTCTCCCGCTCTCTCAGTCGGTCCTTTCACTTGGTCACCTCCATATGCCCCTGTTTCAATTATTGTCTCCCTTTCCAAGTATGCCCCTGGTGGTATTAATACATACGCACACATACATACATTCATTCATACATAACATAACATAACATAACCTAGCATACATACATACATAATCATACAATCGCCAATCAGAATAAGCGCCTGCGAGGGCCTGGTGCAAAAGCCGAGCCGAAGCTACCGGGTATCAGCAAAAGCTTTCGGAGATCGAGCAGTTCTCTGCCACACTTGGCAAGAAAGGGCTGGCAAGCTACGATAAAGAACGTGGGTTCGGATTGTTCCCGACCCGTACT